CTGTGTGTGAGGCGGGCGCCGCCGCGCGAGGGCCGCGCGGCTCTCGGGCCGGCGGCGGCGGGCCGCCGCGCGAGGGCCGCCGGGGCGGCTTCTCGGAAGGCTCAGGTCGGGCCTGTCCCCCTGCAGGCGGATTTGTGGAGGAAAATGTCAAATCTGTCACAGCAAAAGCATACCCCAAAAAATATAAAAAAACAGGCTCTTATATTTATGTAGCTATACATATATATATATATATATATATATATAAATACATATATACATCATTTTATACAATATATATACATGTGTATATATATATATATGTATATGTATATGTATGTATATATATATATATATATATATATTATTAAAATCCTCGCGGATCTGGCGCGCGGTCGCCGAATCCATGGTTCGTGGGAGGTGCCCTCCCAAAAAGGCGGCCCATGTCGGCGGCGGAAGTCCGCGATGCCCCATGGAAGCGGGACCCGTCGCTGATCCACGCCCCCTGAATCCATGTCTGCGATCGCCTGATCCGAGGGCCACGGGCGGCTTCTCAGAAGGCTTAGGTCGGGCATGTCCCCCTGCGGGCGGATTTTGGACGAAAATTGAAAAATAGTCACAGAAAAAAACATACTCGAAAAAGGTGAAAAATGATTGAAACAAAAATCGTCCCCAGATTATGTTTTGACTACTTTTGAATATGCCTCCTGTGGAGAGACAGGCCCGACTCAGGCCTTCTCCAGGGCCACGGGCGGCTTCCCAGAAGGCGCGAGGGCTCATGAGCCTAGCTTAGGGGAACAAAGAATAACATAAACAGAAAAACTCGGAGGTCCGCGCGGATCTCTCGGATCTGCGCTGGACCCCCCTGGCGGCGCCTCTGGCGCCACCCCCGGCGCGCTCCGCGCGCCAGGAAGGGGGGTCCAGCGCCGATCCGAGAAATCCGCGCGGACCTCCGAGTTTTTACGTTTGTGTAATTCTTCGTCACCCTATAGCTGCCACCGTACAGTCGGACCTGGGCCAGAAGCACATCACTGCGTCGGCCAAAACATACAGAGCATCCAAGGGTACCCTCCCCAGGACGCACCAGAACGTGGTACCCTCCCCAGGACGCACGGGAACGTCCAACAGACACGAAGAACATCCGGGCACCCTCCCCGAACCACCCTCGATCTTACCCAGCGGCACGCAACACGCCACACGCACCGCGCGTGGACGCGCAGCTCAAGACGTAGACTGAGGACGCAGGCCTGGCGCGCTGCGCTCGCCAAAAAACGTGGGCTAACACCGTACAGTGGAGGCTGCAGTCGGGCTCGACTGGAGAGGACACGCGAGAGGACACGAGACCCTTCCGAGGGCTACACCACGCGAAATGGTTAAGAAATCATGGGTTAAGAAATTCATGGTCTCAGAACTTGAATAAAAACCCAACGTTTCTATCAAAATCTTAGGATTTACATTGAAACGTTAAGAATAATCGAGACTCTGGCCGAAAACTTAGGTTTTCTTAAGCATCGCCTAAGGTGTACACCATAGGAGTGTAAAAGGCACGGGCCTCTGAAGACAGGACTCAAGGGTACCCTTGACGTGGCAGGGTCGACCTGCTAGTCAAGGCCGACTGTAGCGCGCAAGAAACCTTCCACGAGAAGTCCAACCCTGAGACCCAGGGACGTCCATGGATTCCTGGTGTGGGAACGTCGCGCGCTCCACGGAGAGACCACCGAGGCCCACGAAACCCAGGGCACCCTGGAGGCAGGCGGGGTGTTTCTTGGCATGGGCCCCCACCGTGCCGAGCCCACACGCAGCGTGCTGACACGGACGTCTTGGGCACGGCACGTGCTGCATGCCAACACGGGCGCACCGAGGGGCAGCAAAGCTCCTGAGAGGCCCCCGCCGCCTCCTGAGAAGACCCGCCCCGTTTTCCCCTACCCCCCCCGAGTTCGCCGCCGATCCGACGCCGCAGGCTCGCTGAGGGCCCAGACCTCCTCGAAGGTTGCGCTGCTCCCCTGGCACTTGAGGGCCACATCCCACAAGTAATTCCGGGCACAGAGGAACCTATCGAAACAGTGTCGAACGAGTATCGCCTCCCAGGGCACGACACGTGAAAACCCTCCAGTTTCGGTACTTTCTTGGTGCTCGAGATTCTGTCTGGTGGTCACGGCTGAAGTAGGTTGTAACATCATTATTCGAGGGTCGAGTGCGCTTGAGGAGCGCGCGGCCCCAAGAAGGTCCCGACGCATCCCCAGGGGGAGAATCCCACCAGCCCTTTGGGCGAAGGTGGTCTAGGGCGCTTCCTCTTCCAACCCCCTTCTTCCCCTTCGGGGAGGGGTTACCCCCTCCCACTACCCCCTCCCCTGGACCTTGACGGGGGGGGTCGCGGGTAGTTGCAGCGTCCAAGATGACCCAAGACGGCTCCAAGAGGGCTTCGGGGAGCCCAGGATGACCCCCAAGATGGCTCAAAATAGCCCAAGATGCCTCAAGATGGCTCCCAAGATGCTCCAAGAGACTTCAAGAACGCTCCAAGACGGCTCCAAGTGGCCAAAGAGCTTCCCAAGGAGGCCACGAAGAAGCCAAAATCCTTCAAACACCAAAGGAAATCAATGATGTTTACATCGTCGCCCGCTCGCTTTCGATAGCCGTCCGAGGCCTCAAGGTTGCTCCAAAATGGCCCAAAAGGGCTCCAAGAGAGGCCCAAGAGAGCCCCGAGACGGCCCCAAGAGCGCCCAAGAGCGCTCCAAGAGTGCCCCAAGAGCGGCCTAAGAGACGATTTTGAGGGCTCCCGAGAGGCAGCGCTAATTGAAGCTCCCCTCTTGTTTGATCGGTGTCCTCCAAGATGGCCCCAAAAGCGCCCCCAAAGCTCCCAAGAGCGCCCAAAGAGGGCGCCAAGAGGCGCCCGGACGGCCCCAAGAGGCCTCCAAGAGGCTCCCAAGAGACCCCCAAGAGGCCTCAAGCGGATCCCCGAGGCACCCAACACGCTCGAAGACAACCCTTGGCCCACCAAGACATTCCACAGACGCTGCAAAAGGCCTCCAAAAAGCTTCCAAGAGACATCCGAGGAGACTCCGAGAGGAGACTCCAAGAGACATTCAAGAGGCGTCTGGCTCTTCTGTTCGCCTTTTTCCTCCTCCCCCTCCTCCTCCTCCTCCTCCTCCTCCTCCTCCTCCTCCTCCCCCCCTCCCCATCCCCCTCCTCCTCCTCCTCCTCCTCCTCCTCCTCCTCCTCCTCCTCCTCCTCCTCCGCCTCCTCCTCCTCCTCCTCTTCCTCCTCCGCCTCCGCCTCCGCCTCCTCCTCCTCCTCCTCCTCCTCCCCCTCCTCCTCCTCCTCCTCCTCCTCCTCCTGCGCACGCAGTAGGCGCTCATGAGATCCCCACGAGCCCCGACGGAGCAAGGCCTCCGTAAAACAAAAACCTCGGGAGAACACCCATCAGGACGACCTTTTGCCTTCCTCGGCTGGGGGCGCCATCCAGCCGATGGGGCCAGCGACAGGGTGTTCTCCCCGAGGGGGAGGGCAGCATGGGTCCGCGCCCTGGCCGCTTCTCCAGGCTGGCAGGGTTCCAAGCTTCGGCGAGGTGAAACCACTCCTTCCCTTGCTTGTACTTGCCCTGCTCAAGGCCTCGCAAAACTCGGCTGCCCCAGACGGAGGGCACTGGCGGGCACGGATCACGAAACTGCTTGGAAACGGTGACTCCGCCAGCACCACACAGGGCGCACACCACTCCCCGCCCCCCCCCCCGCGAGAGTGAAGGGAAAGGCACGATGAGTGGCGTGACCCTCTCTCCTGAGGACCGCGATCGCAACATCGGCTCGACTTTCAACCGACGAGACCACGGGAGGAGGAGGAATTACTTGCAACCTGGGCGCCTCGGACCTGGGGACCCCGACACGCTTGGACACAGGAACATGCATACAGTCCAAGTCGGCCATGTGAGGCCCGCACACACCGACCCATCGGGTCAGGGCACAAACAACCTTAAACTGGCTCTTGAACAGGTCGCGATACTGCTGAGAGACTCTACCGTGTTCAGCGGCCTGCTTGGCGCACTGGTCGGCTAGCTCATTGCCCGCTTGCGCCCTGGCTGAGAGACGACCAGAGACGACGTCGGCACGAGTGGCGTGCGCCTTAACTTTGTTAAGGCGCAGCGCGTCGAGACCACCTCTGTCGTCGACGGCATGCCAGACAAGCTTCCAGATGTCGGCCCACGCGGCTTTAGACGAACAACAGAACTGCCGCCCTCGATTCCAGACTCCCTGGAAAACAAAATTGGAGTCGGTCCAGAAGACGGCATCGGGAAGGGCCTGCCTACGGCCCATGAAAAACGCCCAAAGCTCACACGCATCGATGCCAAAGTGACCAGCTGGGAGCCCTCCTGCCACCACCGCACGCTTCGCTCGAGACAGGGGGAGGCTCAAGTCATCGCGCAAGGAAACGATGGCCCAGCCTAGCGAGCGCGCGGTGGGCGGGAGCTCGGAATCAAAGAGGCCCCCGTCGAGAAAGCAATCACCCCCGAGCTGATCGGGGGCCCCGAAGAGCCAAAGTTCCTCGGGAGGGTTGGGTCGAGGAGGAGGGGGAGCAGGCAACGGCACAAGCAACCTCTCGAGGAGGAGGCGAACGAGAGGATTACCTGCTGCTGCTATCATGGCCTGTGTGCACGCTGGAGGCTCCTGCTCTATCTCAAACATGTCATGATGGGCAGCGCATCCGACGTGCCTGTGCAATAGGGTCCCTGGGCCTGAGGCGCAGACCAGACATTCTTGCTGAGACGGCAAACCAAGCTGGTACTGTCTGTCTTGCGGCCACTGGCCGCCTGAAACTACACTGACCACATAGGCTTTTTCATGCGCTTTAAGCTTGGACATACCCGCCTTGATAGGAGCCAAAAAAGGGCCTTGCACAAACCCGGGCATCTGAAGGTGGTCGGCGACCTTGCTCCAGAGCCAGCTCTCGACTACGGTCTCGAGGGCAGTTTTAACGGCACGGGGACACAAAGCTTCAACCGAGAAAACGCCCACGCTAGGATGTTGCCA